AAACAGCATTTATTTCAACATCTGTTGATATTTCTGAGATGAGATTATTGTAACTATTTACACTATTTACATTGTTCGAACTGTTGTCCTCATATTTATTACCATATTCACAATGTCTTGACTGTTGTATGCTCTGGTCTTCTTTCAGTAACTAAATAAAGGATTCGGTTTGAAAGTCAAACTAATATTACCTGAAGAAAGCTGGACTGTACAATGGCTGAAACGTTGTGAATATAGCAATAAAGGTGAGGACAACAGTCCGAAAAATGTAAATAGTGTAAATAGTATTTATTTCATCTACCAGCATACTCAAAAAAATTAAAAAAATGAACACTCTAATTTGATTCAAACCCATGATCCCTTTTGCAGGAGGAACAACTGTCTGATCTATCATGCTTTGACTGCTTGGTTTACTCAAATACAAGTATCCACTAAAAATAATGTTTGAAGTAATAAAAATATGTTGGATTAAAAACTAAAATCCATTAATTCTTTAGAAATTGCTTTGTTTACATTTTGGATACAATACTGAGTAGATATACCTTTCAAGAAAATCTGATCAAGTGAATGTGCTTTAACACTAAAATAGAACCTTGTAGTCAAAGCACACTAGATCAGCTGGTGGTTGCTCTTGTGAAGTGGGACATGGGTTCAAATCCTTCTTGGATACTGTTTAAGATAAATTAAGTGTCTACTGAGTTTCCACTAAAAAGTAATTAAAATATATAATGTAAAGTACATTAAGAATGAATTTACTATAAAAATGTACAGATAATTAGTAAAAAAGAGATTATCATTGGTCAAGAATAAATGCTAGAATAATGGATAAAAAAAAGGATTTTATATTCATAATATAAATAAAATAATGATTTTATAATAAAAAACTATTGAAATTTACATGAAAAGCATTGCCACTGGTCAGAAATTAATGCATACATTTAAGACAAATAGGGTTCTTATATCTGTTACAATATAAATGCATTTCTATAAGAATGTAATGAAAATCAGGAATATAGGGATTCTTATTCATCACAAATTAATGCTAGCTTGGGTTATTTTATGCATAAAGTAAATATAATGGTGATGATTTTGCTACAGGAATGCTTCTAAAATCAAGAGGAAAAGTATGGTCAGTGATCAGGAATTAATACAAGCATTCAGTCAGTCATGTGCCATACATGATACATACTTAGGCTATCATGTATTTTTTGATGCATGACTGACAAGGCAGACTTTTTCCCACAGTAGGTTACCATTTCTTTCTGCGGTAGACCAGTTGCCATCCAAGGCTATAGAACCTGGTCTGTCCTGCTACTTACCTATAGCTGGGGAGAGGGAGAAGAAAAGGATTCATACCCTTCCCAAGGGCATTATCACATAAGTGAATGTAATGGATTCTGGAACTGGATTCCTGGAATCCAAACTCGGATTTCCAATTCCTCAATCCGAGCCAATATCCATTCACCCAACAATGCCTCCTCAAGCATTACTGAGATAATAAGACCATATTTATCTATAATTGAAAAACATTACTAATGAATTTACTATAGAAATGCATTGAAAACCAGGAAGAAAAGGATTGTCAGTGATCAGGAATTAATACAAGCATTATTGATAGAACAGAAATATTATATGTATAATTTAAGTATATTGCTAATGTTTTTACTAGAGAAATGCATTAAAAATTAGCAAGAAAGGCATTGTTTGTAGTCATGAATTTATGTAAATATTACAGAGAGACGAAGATTATTATATCTATAAATGAAAATCATTACTAATGAATTTGCTATTGAAATGCATTGAGGATCAGAAAATGATTATCAGGGGCTAAATATTTATGCAAATATCACTAATAAAATACAGTTATTAAATTTATTGCGTATGAGTTTACTATATAAAAATGTATAAAATGAAGAATACATTAAAGATCAGAAAGAAAAGCATTGTCGGTGGTCAGGAATTAATACAAACATTGCGAATAGAAAAGAGTTATTATGTGCATTATGGAAATGCAATGATTTTATGATAGAAATGTATTGGAAATCCACAAGAAGGGGATTGTCAGTGGTCAGGAATTAATACTAACTTGTGAATAGAAAATAGTTATTATGTACATAATGGAAATGCAATGATTTCATGATAGAAATGTATTGGAAATCAACAAGAGGGGGATTGTCAGTGGTCAGGAATTAATACTAACTTGTGAATAGAAAAGAGTTATTATGTGCATAATATAAATGCAATGACTTCATGATAGAAATGTATTGGAAATCAACAAGAAGGGGATTGTCAGTGGTCAGGAATTAATACAAACATTGTGAATAGAAAAGAGTTATTATGTGCATAATGTAAACGCAATGATTTCATGATAGAGATGTATTGGAAATCAACAAGAAAAGCATAACATAACAAAGATAAGGATACAAGTCCAGGAGAAATATTGTATAAAATGAACAATCTTTGTAACTTTGGCTTTGAAAATATCAATTGCATTTTAGTAATTGTATTTAATTAAAATTTGACAGAAAAACAAATAAAGATTTTCTTTGTTTCAAGTTAATTTAAAAGAAAATGATTTTACAAGCTGACTGTTTCACTGAGTGTGTCTGCTATGGATTCTTCTATGTCCGTCTTTTGTCATAATGATCAGCTGGTGTGAGCACGAATAAAAAACTGATACAATTTCTACCTGCCTATTGTCTTTCTCAAGTTCGTGCAAATGCTAATAACAATAGGAGACCCAGAATGCATCAGGCTATTACATATGCAAGAATTTGTTTTGCTCCAGGGTTTTAAAAAATGTATGCAAAATTAAGAATATGAAGAAAAAAAGAAAACAATAGAGTTATAACAAGAAAGGAAGCAATTTTTAAAAAAGTAATTTGAAAAGTATATACAATGTCTGTCTATAAGCTATCCAGCCATTTTGAAAATTTCAAGAACTGGTTAATCAGCCTTGACAAAGAATCAGGGATACATTAACCTCAATTCTTCTTCTGATAACCCATTAAATGAGCATGTGTAATGTGTGACCATCATATTCACAATAATTGAGTAAAGACCTTACTGCACACGCATTAACCTACCACCCACCCACTGTACTGTGTAACCATCATATTCAGAAGTAGGGATCTTGTTGAATATTAACTGAAACTCTCCTCCTGAGACATCACTGAAGGAGCTTGTGTACTGTGTGACCCTCATATTCAAAATGACCGAATAGGGTCTTACTATACATAGATTAACCTCAACTCTCCAACTGAGATACCACTGAATGAGCTAGTGTAAATGAGATTGTCATATTTCCAATGGCTTAGTGAAGACCTTACTGCAAATACATTGAACAAAACAATCCCAATGAGATATCACTAAAAGGGCTTGTGTAATGTGTGACCATCACATTCACAATGATTGAGTAAGAACCTTACTATATATACATTAACCTAAAATTCACACTGAAACATCACTAAATGAGTTTGTGTACTGTGTGACCATCATATTCACAATGATTGAGTAGGTACCTTGCTGCAAATACATTACACAAATCAATACCACTGAGATATCAGTAAAAGAGCCTGCATACTGTGTGACCATCATATTAAGGAATTAGTAGGGTCTTTCCTACAAATAGATTAACCTAAACTCTCTTACTGAGATATCACTGGATGAGCTTGTGCAAATGGGGCCATCATATTCCCATGACTTAAGGTTCTTACTACACTTACATTAACCTAAACTTCCCACCGAGATATCATTGCATGAGTTTGTGTACTGTGTGACCATATTACTCGCAATGATAATAATAATGATAGGTTAAGTTAAAAACTTTTAAGTATGTTTCAATTTCTATAGCAAACTGTCTTCAATCAGAAATTTAATGTTTTGGAGAGAAGATATCAACATCCATAAACACTCTACTTCTTCTTCTCCATGTCTGTATGTGATCATGGCTCACCACAATTTCCTGTCCTTTGTAGCTTTTAGTAAATTTTGTGTTTTTGCTATCTCTCATAATCCCTGTTCTGCCAACCAATTACACGAGATTGTTAGGCAAGTTATGCACGGCTTTCCTTTGCTCTTCTTGCTTTCAATATGTACTGTGAGTGTCAAATGTTCTAAGCTTTCTTTCCTCATTAGGTACCTCTAGAAATTTCAACTATCTTTGTATAATGTTAAGTATAAGTGTCCTTTATGTTTACATTGAGTAAGAACCTTACTATATATACATTAACCTTTGATGTTTAATTTTGTCATGGCTCACATGTTCAGTCCATGGTATTCTCAGCATCATTCTGTAGAATCACATTTCAATTACTTCAAGTGTCTCCTAATCCATGCTATCTATTAACACATGCTGCTGCGGCTTCTTCTTTTTCTGCTGCTGCTGCTTCTGCTTCTACTTCTTCTGCTACTGCTGCTTCTGCTGTTTCTTCTTTTGCTGCTGCTGCTTCTTCTTCTTCTGCTGCTGCTGCTTCTGCTTTTTCTGCTGCTGCTTCTACTTCTTCTTTTTCTTCTTTGTTACTTGACTCTTCAAGACGTAGGTAATCATGAATCACCACAATTTCCTGTCCATTGTAACTCTTAGTAAATTTTGTCCTTCTGCTATCTCTCCTAATCCTTGTTATGTCAACCAATTACACAAGCTAGTTAGGTAGATTAGGCACTGCTGTCCTCTGTTCCTCTTGCCTTCAATTTGTACAGTAAGTGTAAAATTTTCCAAGCCCTCTTTCCTCATTATGTACCCCAGAAATTTCAACTCCCCCTTTCTGATGTTAATTCTCCTTTTTGTTTCTATATAAATGGCTAAAGGTGGAGTGGTTTACATAAAATGTAACATGCGATGATATTAAAAGACTGAAATGTACATTCATCGGAAACTATTCTGATAGCTTTCATAGATAGATCCAGTTATTTAAAAGAAATTTATAAAATGTTTATATAAAATAGGTGCTTGTAATATAGAGCATGTAAAGCACACCAAAATCCTAATAAAAAAATCTCTAGTCCCAAAAAGTCGAAGAATTCAATAAAAATGCACAACATGTCCAGAAAAATATTGATCTGATAACTGTCAAAGAAAGTCCAGCTAGAATTTGCACATGAATTGGTAGAAGGTATTGATTGATATATATATATATATATATATGGAGAGAGAGAGAGAGATGGTGGGTACAATGGCAAAAGATGGAGTGATAGAGAAAGAATAATAGAAGAAATAAAGTGAAAAATACATGTGAAACTGAAATGAATGTAAATATATGAGAAAAAGTGAGGAAGAAATATATAGAGAGGGGGTGGGTAGGAAAGAGGAAAGATATAAGAGAAAGTGTCAGAGAAGGATTAATAAAGTGGAAATTACATGAGAGACTGAAATGAATATAAATATATACGAGAGAAGAAAGCAAGGGAAAAATGTGAGGAAGAAATGGAGAGAAGGAGGTGGGCACAGAAGAGGAAAGACTCAAGAGAAAGAGAGAAAGATTAAGAGAGAAATAAAGGGACAAATCAAAGAAAAATTGAAAAGTACAGAAATGTATAAGAGAGAAAAAAGTAAGAGAAAAGTGAGAAAGAGTTAGAAAGAAATGTGAAGAAAGTGAGGGAGTGTATTTGGATAAGGAAAACAAAAAAGCAAAGAAAAAGAAAGAAAGAAAAATAATAAAATGTATGACAAAAAATAAAATGATGCAGAAGAGAAGATGGAGATTATAAGCTGAAAATGGATAAAGTATAAAGTATATAGTACAGTGAGTCCCCACCTATTCACGTTTCAGCATTCACGGCTTCAAACATTCACGGCTTCAAACATTCACGGCTTCAAACATTCACGGCTTCAAACATTCACGGCTTAAACATTCACGGCTTCAAACATTCACGGATTCAAACATTCACAAAATTTTCTTTAGAACATATGTACTTGTATTTCACAGAAACCCCGAATATTCACGTGTTTTTCTGAAGAACATATGTACAAATTATTTGCTGAGAACTCCCTTGATTCATGTATTTTCCGATAGAACATATTTAAAATATTCTTGTATTATTTTCTTGTTAAGTGACTTAAAATATATAACAGACTATTTTTATGGTAAAATTTGGCATCTTCATTGTAAAAAACAAATGCAAAAAAACATGCATACCGCTTGGACTTTGTTCTTTGTTAGTGGCTGCGGCTGGAGTCTTAAAAGTGGTTTATGCTAAGTCTGGGGACATCAACACAGTTCTGTTTTTAGAAAATGTTTTAAACTTTATATTTTATGTTTTGTTACACATATTTTATACAGTATTTTCAATGGTTGTATTGATCTATGCATAATTAAAAATGGTTATTGTACATGTGAAAGAAAATTGTATGGTCACCAATACTATTTTTCAAAAATGTTTTAAAAAGGGTGTGAAATCTTTTTAAAGTGGTTAGTATGAAAGTTTAAGGCATATGGGGTTTTAACAAACAAAATAGGTATTTATAAGCACTTTTAGAGGGGTTACAAGTATTTGCGGATTCTAACTATTCACAGCCGGTTTTGGACCCTAATTCTTACAAATATGGGAGACTCACTGTATAAAAGAAGAGAAAAGATGGAAGGAAAGAAAAAGTAAAAAAAAAAATTGTGTTTCTGGGAAAAAGAGAGAAATATCAGAGACAGAAAAGAAAAACAAGACTGATGAAAGAAGTGAGAAAATGTAAAAAAGAAGAAAAATGAGAGATAGACAGAAAAGATAGACATTCACTAAGGAAAGAGGAAAATAAGAGGATGATGGGGGGAGAAAAGAAAAAAGAAATAAATACACAATTATAGAAAGAAGGATTAACTCAGAGAAGACAGAGAAGGTGAAAAAGAAAGAAAATAGAAGGATAAAGAAAACAAAAAAGATAGAGAAAGAAAATCAGAGAAAAGGAAGTGTGAGAAAGAGAGAGAGAGAAAATGAGGTGGAGAATAGATAGAAGGACAAGTAATTAGGAGATAAAGGGGGAGAAAATATGAGAGAAACAGAATAGAAAAAAGAGGATAAGTGACAAAACTAAGAGAGGAGGAAATACAGGAAAATAAAGATGTTAGAAAATAGGTAAAAAAAGTAGAAGTAAAAAAGTGAAGGGAAAGCATGTAAAGAAATATCAAAGAGAAAGAAAGAAGAAGAAAAAAGATTAAGTGAAAAACATAGGTAAAGAAGAAGAGGTAGAAGGAATCTAAGGGATATAATAAGATAGTATATAGAAAGGCAAATAGGAAATGAATGAGAGAGTGGGAGAGAGAAAGATGAAGAAAAAAGGAGAGAGGTAAAGGGAAACAAAGTAAAAGGCAAGAAAGAAAAGGATAGAAGGGAATAAAGAAGAAGAGAGGGAAGAGGAAAGAGAAGGAATGAAAGATTAAGAAAAATGAATAGAGAGAAGGAAAACAAGGTGGATAATAAAGAAGATAAAGATAAAAATGAAGAGAAGCAAATTAAAACAAGGTAAAGAACAGGAGAGAGAAGAGAAAGATTAAGAAAAGGAAGAGAAACAAGATAAGGAACAATAAAGAGAAGGCAAGAAAGATGAAGAAATAAGAAGAGAGGGAGGGGAACAAGTAAAAAAAAAGGAAAGGAAAGGTGAGAAAGATGATGAAAAAAGAAGAGAAGAAAGGAAATAAGGTAAAGAGCAGGGAAGGGAAGGATAGAAAGATGAAGAAATATGGAGAGAGGAAAGGCAAGAACAGTAGAGAGAAGGTGAGAAAGATGATGAAATAAGAAAAGTGTGAAGAGAAACAAAATTAAGAACAGGGAAGAGAAAAAAGATGATATAAAAAGAAGGGACAAAAAGGAAACTAGGTAAAGAGCAGGAAAGAAAAGAAGAGAAAGATGATGTAAAAACAAGGTAAAGAACAAGAGAAAGAAATCCATGCAAAGAAAATAATAAAAGATTAAGAACAAAAAGTGGGTGGTAGTGAGAGAAAAATAGAAGGTGGAGAGTGGTAAAAACAAGAAAGAAAAAAGAAAATGAGAGAAACTTAAAAAATCAAAGAGAAAGAGAAGATGAAGAAGAGAGTATAAGAGACAAAGAAAATGAGAGAAGAGAGGTGAATTTGTTACAAAGAATAGATCAGAAGTAAAAAAAAAGAAAAGAGAAGAGATTTTAAAGTGAGATGAAAGATAAAATGTAAGAAAATATGAGACAAGACAAAGAGAAAATGAAAGGGGAGAGGTAAGTTAGTTACAAAGCATAGAGTGGTGGTCTGTCAGGTTTAAAATTAACATCTATGTGCTGGGGTGAACTCAAATATGACTGCGGAGCCTAATGCAGGAATAGCAAAGACATCCGCAATGAGAACAGAAACTGGCCTGGATGTTTGGGCACTTCTACTGCTGCTGTCCTGTTTGCATGGGTCTCATTGATGCTCTAATCTTGGTTGTCCTCAAATGTCTCTGTTGCACATCAGTTCAATCCTGTCCACACTCTTCAAACTGTTTATGGCCTATTAAAGTGTGGGTCATATTGGCCTTGATGTAGTCTTTAAAAGATTTCAGTGGCCTACCATACTTCCTCTTTCCCTTAGAGATCTCACCATGAACAAGTTGCTTTGGGATTTTATCATGTTCCATCTGGAAGACATGACCCATCTATCTGAGTTAGGCTTTCAGGATCATGGCTTCGATGTTAGTGGTTTTTGAGCAGTCCAGGACTCCAATGCTCAAAATAGAGCACAAGCTTCACATATGAAATTGCTCCAGTTTGATATACCTTCTATACAGGTTTCACACCCATAAAGAAGGCTGCTGAGGACAACTGTCTTGTAGAACTTGAGCTTGGTGGACTGCTGGATATTGTGTTGATTCAGCACATGTGCTCACAGTCTGCCCAAGGTTTGATTTGTCTTGCAGTTCCTGACATTGATCCCTTTGTCCATTTATGAGAAAGAGAAGAAGAAGAAGAAGAAGAAGAAGAAGAAGAAAGTATAAGAGAGCTATTGACACAGAGAGGAAAGAGGTGAACTAGTTAGAAAGTGTAGATAGAAAGACAGAGAGAGGAGACATTTTAAAGAAAGAAGCAAGAGAAAAGGAAAGCAAGTGATAGAGAATTGTTGACAGAGAGAAAACAGGGGAATTAGTTATAAAGAGTAGACAGAAAATAAAGACAGAGAGAGGAGACATTTTTGAGAAGAAAGAGGTGTATTAGATACAAAGAATTGATATGGATTAAAGACAGAGAGGAGATATTTAAAAGAGAGAAGTAAAAGAGAAGGAAAGTGAATAAAAGAGAATTGTTGACAGAAAAGGAAAGAAAACAGGTGAATTAGTTACAAAGAGTAGATAGAAAGTGAAGACAGTGAGAGGAGATATTTTAGAGTGGAAAGTAAGAGAAATGGTAAGAGTGTGTAAGAGAGGTGTTGAGCGAGAGAAAGTGGAAGGAAACAGGTAAATTAGTTACAAAATATACATGGAAAGTGAAAATAGAGAGAGGAGATAATTTAACAAGAGGTGAATTAGATACAAAGAATAGATAGGATGTAAAAACAGAGGGAGGAGAATTTTTAAAGTGAGAAGAGAAAAAGTATGAAAGTAAATGAGAGTTGTTGACAGAGAGAAAGTGAAAGGCAAAAAGTGAATTAGTTAAGTAACATAATCGATGGGAAGGACAAATAGAGATAAGCTGTTTTTAAAGCGAGGAGTAAAGCAATAAATCAAAAAGGAGAGTGTATGAGAGAAAAGGAGAGCAGGTGAGTAATCTAGTAGCCGTTGTCTATGAAGACATCACTTAAAGCTTCTACATACCCCTGATCCTATTGATTTTCCGAAACTTTTTCTGACTAAAATTCTTACAGCAATTTCTTTTTTTATTTCATCTTTTTGTTTGTTATACAATAGAGAAAAAAGAGTGCAGCATACCACAAAATTGTTTACCGATTCTTTTCCAGCTTTCTTTGCAGTTTATCCTTTCTGCTAGATACATTTCAATATTAGAAGCATAAAAAGAAAAGAGGAAAAATTCAATAATAAATGTTTTCATGAATCTGCCAATACCGTGCATTTGTGCATATAGATGCTCAACTGTATTGGAATATGAATGCTAGTATGCAAATCCGTTTCTAGAATACAGAATCTGCTTGACAAGGCATTGAAGTTCTGTTGCAGCATTTCAATCCGAACTATCTCTGTATTATGAATAAATCTTGTATAATAGTACTTGTGCATTTATGATGACATGAACTGCCTGTATAAACTGTTATATGCATTATTGTTTTGCAATAGAAATGCAACAGTAATGTTTATATACATAATCATAAAATAATAAATATTATCTAATAAAATGTTATATAATTAATGCAGCAGGTTATATAATTAAAAAATTCATTGAAAAAATATCAAGTTTAATTTTCAGGTATATTTCAATATATTAATGACCTGGTATTTTGGTTTTAATCACTTTAACATCACTGTAATATAGTTTTCCTCTGTTTTTTCATGGTAATTGTTCAGATGAACTTTTCTCATTATTATCTTTATTCTTCATCTCCTACAAACAAATTGTACATATGGGAACTAGACCAGCCTGGCCTTGTGCCACGTTTTTTGTATTTTCACAGCAAATACTGCTTTCCTTATTGTTATACACTGAGATTTCATTTTTTTAAAAGTTTTTATTTTTATTCCCCACAGACAATTGTACATATGGGAACTACAATATATACTTGCGTATCATGCAACTTTTGAAAACTTAATTTTGAAGCTAATTTTAAGGGGGTCACATCATACATGAAATATAAAATTAGCATATCTACTGTTGGCTATGCCATTGATCAAACTATATAATCATTTAGCTTCAAAATTAGATCTTTAAAAGATGCATGATATATACGGTAGTTAGGACTTCATAATGACTTAGACATTATGGTGGCTGTAGTAAGAATGGTAAGTAAGTGTTATAAAGTGATTTCACAGTAGTGGCTTGTATTTATACTGTCAGTCCTAAAATAGGTTCGATGTACAAAACGTTAGGAACTTGATATAATAGGTATAAAACAGAGTAAATCTAGTTGTGGTTGCTGATAATTTAGTATCTGACTAACAGTCATCCAGCATCGACTGACTGACCAACTCACTGAGCGACTCCCTCGTTACTCTTATGACTCCTACTTATTAATGGGAGAGTCTATTAACTATAGAATAGGTGTGTTCCACTATAACAGTAAGAATGTGTTGTTTTGGTGTAAGGAATACTGTTGGTATATTTGGGTCATAATTGTTGTTAGCTAATTTTAAGATAAGACAGATTAAAGACCAGACTTCCCCTATGCCTACTTTTGACCTTGTGCTGCATTGTTGTATTATTCAAAATAAATATTACTTTCCTTTATGGTACCTATACTTTATGAATTTAAGCACAGTACTAGATTGGCAGCTAGGTCTCATCATTTTACAGTTAAAATGGCTAGTGTAAGCATAAGTGCTATGCTAACAGTTTCTTTTCTTGCAATTCTTGCTTGTGGAACTCTCTTCTGGCGCCATGCTTTCCAGTGAACTTTGATCTTCAAAAATTTAAATGCAATGTCAATCATTATCTTCTGTCTTCTTAATTCTTACTTTTTATTGTTCTCTCTCCTTAATAATATTTTCTTTTTCTCATATTGGATTATTTTCGTCTCTTGGTGGTTTTGGGGTGAAATGATTAAAAAAAATAAATTCTCAGAAGGGCCTATACAACTCTTGATTTATTAAAGAAAAAATATATCTATATGATTGAATAGAGATATATTTTACAAGCTGTTTGTAAAGTCTTTGTGCTGTTGACTTTTGGAATATCATGTCTTCCATGCAAGATAGAAATATCAAACCAAATGTAAAGGAAAACAGATTTCCGCCTATCATTCTTTATACAGGTTGTCTGTAAAGACTTTGTACTGTTGACATTTAAAAACATTTATCTACAATATAAGTATGATTTTTTATTTCTTCTATGTAAAAACCATCGAAAATTAAAATGGAAGCAAATATATTCAAAATGGAGCATATGTAGTTATGCTTAAAACCAAAATATTTTAATTAATGTTTCCCCTATTTTAACTATTAATTTATAAATGTTAATTTTCTCCTTTTGAAAGATGCACTTTGTCATAATTTTATCCACTGCACATTGCTCTGATAGCTGCTTTTCAGTAATGCTATTTTGTTTCTAGGTAATTTTCACTGTCTATTCTTGGACTCTGCATGTAAACAAAAGATGAGGTATAAATTTTCAAAATACTCTTCATTTCCTTGTTACTATGTTAAGGATGTAAAAAATGATCATTTTTTTTATTTTCAGACAATGAACTATGATTTTTTTAATCATTTCACTCCATATAAGCCAGTAAAGTCACTAAGACACCAGAGGTTAATGAGTCTAGTATTAGAATTAGAAATTAGAAAACAAGAATTAGAAAACAGAAACATTGTTAAGGAGTAAGAACAGAAGAAGGGTAATCAGGAAGATGGTAGATAGCTATTGACATTGCTTTTAAATTTTTGAAGATCAAATTTGGCTGGAAAGCATGGATCTGGAAGAGTGTTCCACAAGCAAGAAGTGCAAGAAAAGAAACTGTTAGCACAGAACATAAGATTATATCTAGACAATTCAACTATAAATTGATGAGTTCTTGTTGCTAATCTAGTTCTGCACTTAAATTTCTAAAGTCTAGGTATCATAGCAAAGTGTTCATCCAAACAATTTCTATGAAAGTAAAGGCACAATGAAGCTATATTATGGTGGTGAGAAAGTGACTGAAGCCAAGATGCCAGGTCAAGAACAATAATACTGCTGAGTCTTCTTTGGATTTTATTAAGAATCTCTAAATATATAGCAGCAGCACTGGCCTATATGTGGCATCAATATTCTAAGCATGGGCGAATGGTAGACTGATAAACATGTAAGATAGATTCTGGAGAGAAAAACTGTCTAGCATGACACAACTTTCTTAGCAGCAATGGATTCTGTCTACTTCATGTCAGCCGAGAATGTTAAGCCAAGAAGGTGCAATAAGTCACTCTCCTAGAGGTTAGCATCAGCCATGCTGATGGAAGGCAGAAAGAGGACTCTCAGATGATTAATGCTGTTTCGTTTTGGAACCATTAAAATTAAGAAGACATTCTTTACCTCAGTTAACAACAGACTGAAATATTCAAGACAGAAATATTCAAGAAAGAAATCAATCAGTTTCTTTAGAAAAACCTTTATGGTAGAGTTAATTTGTGATCTTATTTTTAAAACCAAACTAAATCACTTCGACCCTTGGAGCATCTATTTTAGTACAAAGTGGTGATATCTAGCGATTTCAGTCATCTTTCTAGTAATTTTAAAAATAAACAAATCTTCTGACACTGGATTTATTTTACTACTCCTTCTTCTTCTTCTTCTATGTGTCTTCTCTCTTCAGGATGTTGATGATCATGGCTCTCCACAATTTCCTGTTTTTTGTTTTTACTTTCTATCTTTGTAGCTCTTAATAACTTTTGTCTTTTTGCCATTTCCCCTAAAACCTGCCCTGTCATCAATTCATTATTGCTTTCCTAGGTAAGTTGTGCATTGCTTTTTTTTCTGGGCCTCTTACCTTCAATTTGTCCTGTGAGTATCAAATTCTCTAAGCCCTTTTTCCTCATTAAGTGCCCTAGAAATTTCAACTGCTTCTTCTTGATACTAAACTGTCTTTCTTGTTGTGATTGTCACTCAAACTTTGTTGTTGATCACATGATCAATACATGTCATTCTCGGCATCCTTTCATAGAACTACATTTCTGTTAATTCTAGCATTTAGCATTTAGTAATACAGAAGATGGTGATTGATATTTCATGTAAATTTATGAAGAGTGGAGGAAGCAGGGAAACAAGAAATCAGATGCAACTTCCAGAGGTGAGAAATGTAATGAAAGAAACTATTAGAATAGAACTTATGGTTATATCTACCTCTATTCCAACAGTAAAAAAGGTGAGGAGAGCTCATTAGAACAACTACCATGAAAATATTTATAAAAAAAGACAGAAGGAACCCACATCATGGTGGTGGGAAAGTGACTGAAGCTGAGATGCCAGGTGAAGACTGATAACATTACAGACACTTTTTTGATTTTTTTTTGAGAATCTCAAGATATACAGCAGGAACACAAGACCAGACATGGCA